AGATTTTGGGATTTCCCTTATTGAGAGAAATTAAACCAATTAAGGTCTGTATTTGCCCCCCACACCTCCAATTCTAAGAGATCTTATCCACATTTTCCTCCCCACAATGTATATTCCTACCTAGGAGATAGTTTCCTATCAGAACAATAGCTAATCCAAGCCTGTATTCAGTTATTATTTTGTCTATCTCCTCTTTAGTATGTCCCGTCTTTCTGTGCCTTTACTCAGGGGACTGCTCCATGCATTTCTCCAATACATTCTCTTAGGACATAGGCAATACTATATTTGCATTTTCAAACGTTTTACCTAGAAGTTTATCTGGTAATCTTTTAGATATTTCACGCTGTTCTCTGTAGTCCTTTCCTGTTTTCCAGAACTCTGTGAGTGTATGACAACCTAAATAACAATGATTTTTATTATATCTTATAATCTGAAGGGCCAAGAATGTGGGCAGAGCCTGGCTGAGTAATTCTTCTGTTCCATATGGCATCAACAGAGGTCACTTGGTGTTAGTTGGTGGCAGATGGTTTGGAAAGTCTTAGAAAACTGCATCACATGTATTGTGCCTTGGGGGAGATGGCTGGAAAGCTGGTGTCTGCTGAGATTATCGATCAGGGATCCTACACATGGTTTCTCCAGCATGTCAGTCTCAGAGATACAAAACTTGGCAACTCAGGACTCTGAAAAGAATGTTCCAAGAAGCCTGGGTGGCAGCTTCAAGGTTTCCTATGATCTAGCCTTGGACATCCTAGAACATTACTTCCACCAAGTGCTGGCTTTTATTGGTGAAGGAAGTCATGCAGGCCAGCCCAGATTTAAAAGGTGGTGGTGGCAGGGGGGAATTAGAGCTCACATCTCTACAGGAGGAGAGGCAAAGAATTTATGGCCATGTTTAATCTGCCACACCCTGTCATATCAGCCCACAGTTATGTCATTCCTTTGCATGGCTGGGCTGCCCTAACTATGTCCAACTATGGATTCTCTATCTGAAGCTTTACATAGAGGCATCACGGTATTTTCCTGGCTCCCTCCGAGGAACTTATTCCAGGCTGATGTATGAGAATTCACCTCTCCTGATCAATTTCACGGGGCTGCAGTCACTCTAACTGAGAAACAATTAAAAATATTTTTTCCTTTTTGAGTTCCTTATTTAGAGAAGATAGATTGTGTACATTCTTTAACCCTTCTTTATCCCTTCTTCCTGGTCTCCAAGATTCTGTGTGTGTGTGTGTGTGTGTGTGTGTGTGTGTGTGTGTGTGTGTTGGTGGTAGGTTTTTTGTTTTTTTTTTCTTCTCTGCCTAGTCTGTCTTTAAAAAACGATTTCTGTCATTCAGGCTCATCAATCTTTGCTCTATTATTTTGTCTCTTTTCTGCCACTCTTCTTATGATACAGGGTGAAGCATACTTTTGACACATCTTCAGTTCCCCCTTGATTTCCTGAAAAAAAAAATCTTGATTTTAGAGCTTGTTAGTTTGAAGCTGACACCAAGATAGGATGTGATAGATGCCTGTGAAGGATGAAAGGGAGGAAGTGGGGGCAAGCGTGGAAAGCCACGTTGCAGGTCCGAACACAGAAATAAAAAGTGGAAGGAAGACTTGAGTAAGAAGAGATGTAGAACTTTCAGGCCAAAGGAGTCCCTCTAATGGCCAAGGCCGCTGTAGTGCCCCTGCTCTGCTCTGTCACAGCTGGGAGTGGCCCAGGGAGGTATGGTCTCCAGAAGGACACAGAGGTCGATCCAGAGGGACAGCAGCTACAGCTCTCAGTCAACTCTGCCCCCTGCAGCAGGAGGTCTGGCTCCCACAGGACAGAGGGTTGCAGATGCTAATGGGATCCAGGATGGAGAACCGCTTTCCAACCTGGTGAGAGAGCTAATGAGGCCAGATATTCTCCTTGTCCCGAGACTTCTATCTTTGCTGGTTCCGGTGAGGTCCTTCTGGCTTTGAAGGAGATGGATTCACTGAGCTTGGAAAACAGGACGTCGGATTCACAGGAGTTAAGGTCCAACTAACTCTACCACGTATCACATGCTTGACCTTGGTCAGATTTCTTGTGTCTCTGTTTCCTCAAGTGAAGTGAGGGTTGGACATGACTTGCTGAAGGTCCTTCATCTCTGACATACTGTGACGATGTCAGTGGAGCCTTTGATCTCAAATTTTTCCAAATTTATCTTTATGAAAAGGATGATTACAACTTTTCATTGTCAGAGAGATGATTCACCGAGATAATCTGAGGCGTAATTACGGTATACGTGCGTAGAGACATTAGCAAGAAATTATTCTCAGGCGTAAATGGTCTAGTGTTAGCAGATGATTGCAAAAGACATTGGGTTGAATTGTTTAAAGTCATGCTAATTTTCTTGAAGTGCAAACACTAATCAGGAACACTGAGTAATTAGGATTTAGGTATAAGCCCCCGGTATATGAAATCGGCATTTTCATGTGAGCATTAATGTCACTTATGTAAGTGCTTACAGTATGATGGGGGAGTATTCTAAGAAGGACGTTCATTACAGAGATTTGCAGTAACAAATCTTGGTTATTACTTTTACCTTTTGTTGAACGTCTTACAAGAGGTATCTATCAAGTCTTAGGGAATAATTTTTACATTTCATGTTGCTTGATTAAATACGCACTTAATCTTAGACTGCTATCTGTAGAGAATTAGCATATTATATGTGTGAAGTATTCTACAAGTTTGAATAAAGAAGAGAAAAAGAGAGTCATTTGCCTTGAACCTTAAACTCACTTAATTTTAATCATTTTACAGATGGAGAAACTGAGGCATAGAGTGTTTTTTCTCAATTGTCCATGATAACTGCTGACAATTTTATTTTGCTTCCATGTGCTGAGTATCTTTAGAAGTTCTTTGTTTATATATTGGCTACCTTTTTCTATTAAAATTTTTTTTAATGTTTATTTTTTAGAGACAGAGAGAGAGAGAGAGACAGAACATCAGTGGGCTAGGGGCAGAGAGAGAGGGAGACACAGAATCCAAAGTAGGCTCCAGGTTCTGAGCTGTAAGCACAGAGCCTGACCTGGGGATCGAACTCACAAACCATGAAATCATGACCTGAGCTGAAGTCGGACACTCAACCAACTGAGTCACCCAGGCACCCCTATGTATTGGCTACCTTAAGAAATGGGTACAGATTTCATTCTTTCTCATTGCCATGTGGTATTCCATTGTATAGATAAACCACATCTTCTTGATCCATTCTTGATGGACACTTAAGCTCTTTCCATGTTTTGGCCATTGTTGAGAGTGCTGCTATGCACATTGGGGTATATGTGCCCCTATGCATCATTTGTAGCAACATGGATGGAACTTGAGGGTGTTATGCTGAGTGAAATAAGTCAGGCAGAGAAGGACAGGTACTGTATGTGTGCACATATAGGTGGATTAGGAGGAACTTAAAGGAGGACCATGATGGGAGGAGAAGGGGAAAAATAGTTGGGGAGAGGGAGGGAGGCAAACCATGAGAGACTCTTGAATGCTGAGAACAAACTGAGGGCTGATGGAGGTGGGGGAGAGGGGAAGGGGGGTGATGGGCATGGAGCAGGGCACTTGTTGGGATGAGCACTGGGTGTTGTATGGAAACCAACTTGACAATAGCCTATTTAAGAAAAAGAAATGAAATGGGTACAGCCACCTTAAGAGACAGACCATGCTATTTCCACCTGGTTTTATACAGGAGAAAACTGAAGCCCAAAAGGGCTAAGTTTCTTTCTCTGGGGCACATGGAGACAATGGCAGAGTCAGGATTTGCACCCAGGCAGTTTGACTCCAGAGTCCCTGCTTTCCACCTCAGGCATACTTTCTCATCAACATAATGTGTTAAAAAAAGGCAACCTGGCACTAGAACTCAGATCTCATTTTCTTTTATGTGTGTGTGTGTTTGTGTGTGTGTGTGTTCCATAACACTAGGTTTAATTAAAAAACAAATACATTTTAATATTTTAAAATAACATAGCATCTGACAGTGCCTGAGCGGCTGCTCAGATCCCCCAGCTCTGGAGGTGTTACTTTGTTGCATGAAGCCCTTCCCTCCCCCCCCCCCCCCCCCCCCCCCCCCCCCCCCCCCGCAGGGCAACTCTTCTGAATCACTATCTCCACATTTCCCAGGAGAAACTCCAGCAACTAGAATTAATTAGCAGGTAGGAATCATTTATAATCAATGAATCATATGCTTCAAAGCAAATGGCTGATTATGAAGTAGTTTCAAGATACGTGAAAAAGCTTTTTCCCAGAAATAAGCTAAACTAATCTTTATGTCTCATTTGTTGATGAATTTTCCATTTGCTTTTCTTCCTGGCTCTCTCTGGGTCCTAGGTTCAGTCATTTCTAGTCTTCTTACCACGAGCCTTAGCTCCCTCAGCCTGGAGCAGGGTGACACTCCCCGAGTTACCTGCTCTTTGACAGGACTCCCAGGGTGGCCGTTTTGGCCTGGCTATACACACAATGCAAATGTCCCCCCAAGCAGTAGCTTGGGAGGTGTAGAAGTAGTGGACTACTCTCTTTTTAGTTTGGTTTTGTTTTTTGGAGGCTACTTCTCTCGTCTCAATCCCTGAACCCGTTACCCAGCTGGAGTTTGCCGTTGGCCATCAGTCACCCAAAACAAACCAATCCTTTGGCCAGAGCTGTGGCAGCCCCTTGGTTTTCAACTTGATGGTTGCATTTAACTGATGGTTTCTGTCCTCACTGGAAGCCCGGAGACCATCAGTGCTGAGAGCTGATTTTCTGGTCTATCAGAATAGGACACATTTGTTGTCCATGCCCCAGGGGTTTGAAATTATCCCATATTTCTGAAGTGTAGTTCAGACCTCATACAGACTCCTGTCTCTCCCAAAGCTAGGACCTCCTCACCCCCATCGTGGGACTGTGGACATGGCAGGATTATAGCTTCTAGGGGCTTTTAGGAGCGTGGATCCACTGGTGTTCCATTAAGGAAGATCAGTGGAGGATAGATGATGTGAGTAACCATCAGACTTTGTTCTCTTAGGCGCTCGTGAGAAAAATCAATGCCTCAGACAATATCTACACCACGGAATCCACCACCGGGAACCTGTTCAGCCTGACCCAGGAGGGGGCTCCTTTGTGCCGCATCATCGCCAAGGTGAGCTTCATGGTGAGCGGCCAAAGTGACAGGCTTGGGAAGAGTTGGGGGGAGCTAGTTTGGTGGGAAGAGCTGGCTCGGGACGTCTGCCCTGGCCCTAGAGGTTGTTTGCTGTGTGATCTTGGGAAGAGTCACCTCCCCTGTTAGGGCCTTGCTGTCTCCATCTTCAATAGTGGGTAGGCCCTCTGACTTCTGTTCCCTCTTGAGAAAAATGCGGTGCCCCCAGAGCCTCATCTCTATAATCCTCTTCATGTGGTGTCTGTTAGGTATATCAACCCTCCTTTCTCATCCTTACATGTCTCACCAAACTCAAACAAAACTTATCCCCCAACCTAGGTTCTTGATAAGTCCCCCAAATACCTGAGGTCACTGCAGTGCTACATGAGGAGAAGACAAAATTGAGGGTAACAGTGGTTTTCGTCAATTACAATGGGAGTTCTAAGTCACCAGCTTCATGGTTAATTTGCCCTACACTTGGTGTACAAACACTTAGCGTAAATACAGGCAATTGATAACCCTAGGCTCTCACCAGGGTCTTCTATTTTATTTTTACGATTTTTTTTTTTAACTTGAGAAATGACATTGCCATGGAGACAGAACTAGTGATCTAATTGGATGCACAGTTCTGTCTTTCAGGAGATGTGTGATGCCACTCACAGGAAGATGGTCCGGTTCAGTGGTCCCTTGTCTTGCCTCTGCATCACAGTCCCTCATGGGATTTTGGAAAACACAGATACTTTTGCCCCACCTAAATTTACTGAAGTCCTGGGATAAGACCTGGGAATCTACATTTCAATGAGCCCTACAGGTAGTTAGGAGGCACGGCCACTCTCAGAATCACCCACCTAAGCCCTTAAAGAAATCTGGAAGAGGAGGCTAAATGCTTGTCAACCCTGCTTAGGGAAGAAGTAAATTGCATGTAACTGTAATAGTTAACATTCCAGTGTTGTTGTCTTGCTGTTCGTGGTGCTTAATGCCATTTGGACATTATTTAATAGCTTTAAATCACAAAACCATCCTAGGAAGCAGGTATCATGTTGTCCTCATCCATAATTGAAGAAACGGCTTAAGGGACTTACTCAAGTTCAGACAACTGATCAAGAGTGGAGTCAGAAGCAGAGCCCAAGTTTCTTTACTTCAAAGCTCATGATCCCAAAGCCCACAGTGGTGACTTCTGGTTCCATCCTGGCCCTTCAGATTCTTGGGCCAAAGATTGACTCAGAAATTCTCAACCTTGATGCATGTTAGAATCACTAGGGAGCTTTAAAAGTCACAGAGCCAGTAAGTGAGGGAGCTGGAATTTCAAATTGCCTGCTTGGCAGCAAAGGCTGTGCTTTCGCTTACTATTCTGAATGACCTCTTAGCAGCCCTCTTCCTCTTTCTCCTCCTCCTCCTCCTCCTCCTCTCCCTTCCCCTGCCCTTCTCTCCCTCCCCCCTTCCACAACCTTCTTTATTTGCCGCATCCTTTCTTCTCTCCAAGCCCTGTGCTAAGCTTTTTATTCGTTATCTCTTCTGATCCTCTCAGGGATCTTATGATGTGTTGTAATTATAATTCCCATTTTTGAGATGAAGGAACAGAAGATCAGAGAGAAGGTAAATAACTTGTCTGAGGTCATGCTCATTAAAGTGCAGAGCGGAGATTTTAACCAGATCTTCTGCCTCCAGAGTCTTAATCTCAATATTCTTGTGTCTCCAGTCCTTGGGAGAGTATAGACAGAAGGCTGAAGCAAAGAGAAGGTTCAGTGATGGCTCCCATCTTCCCAGCCTGGAAGAGGGGGAGACTGGTTCCTCCAGTGGAGTCACTGTGTCTGGGGTTCTAGTCCTGACAGTGACACAGGAGCTGAGAGTCCCTGGTGCACTCTACGTAGCATCCTCACTGTCGATGCTCAGGGAGGGTGCCCAACACTGTGACAAATTTGGGACAAACCTGGGCCTCGAAGTGGCCTGCCCCACTCACCTCCTCGGGGCTCAGTGTGGTCTGTCTTTGGGCCCTTTGTCTGTCTGAAGTCTGTGCTCTCAGCCTCTTGGGTTTCTTTGCAGGCCAAGGAAGAAGCCCAGCCCTCCCTGTGGTGGTAGTGGTAAGCCCCATCCCTTCCTGAGTGCAGAGCAGAGCAAACTCCCCTGCACTTTGTCAAAATTACCCTGCTCCTCTATTCCTTCCCCCACCACTAGCCTACACCCCACAAGTGGCCTCCTCAGCTTTTTGACAACTTATCCCAAGTCTGTCTGAATAATAGATACCATTATACACTTTGGCTTTGAGCCCATAGCTTTCTATAAAATTAAACAAGCTCTAGCCAGCAGTGTAATTCTGCTAGCTCAGTACAGTTCTCTCAGCTCTACTCTAAGATGGGTGCTGCTCTTGGGTCCTTGAGGGGACTTCAGCGTGGTCCACACAACTATTCCATCTCCCTTCCTCTGGAGCCTCCTTCATCCTCTCCCTTCTAGGTATTCCAACCCTTGGGATTCCTTTTATGAAGGTTTGAGACATTCTTCTAACCAGGAAGCTTTCCGTAGACTGACCCTCAGCTGGCTGTCCAAACCTGGGTGCTAGGCCCTTTCACATACATGAACTCAGCTGTTCACCCAACAGCTTGGTTGTGTAGCTGCCGTGACCCTGTTTTTAGCCAAAGTTAACCAGCAGTTAAGTCAGGATTTGAGCCAGAATCCCCGCAGTGTGGATTCAACATTTCTTCCCTTTAGCTTTCCCAGCAGCTAAAAATGCAAAGAAAGCTATTTTTCACAGGCTTGGCAAACGATGTAATGAGAACCCAATGCAAATGGGTACCGAGGCTTAAATATAGTTATGCTGAGTTCGGTGCCTCCCCGGCCAAAGGAAGGCTGCCACATTGATCCTGGCTTTCAGTCTGGCATTCTCTGGTACCATTTCTTTGTTGTCTGTTCCTAATGTAAATACTTACTTACCTATCCATCTATCTATCGTATCTATCTATCATCACTTATCATCTCTGTCATCATACATAAAATATATTTATACTATATATGATTAAATATAAATACACACACAAAAATATAAACATACATCTTTAAACGCACCTACATATATAAGCACACATGCATGTATAAATAATTTATATCTGGAGAGAGGTCAATAAGAATCAGCAAGGCTGGCTGGGGAGACCTCAGGACTCCTGTTTCTTTTCTTCGCACCTTAAAGAGTAATTCAATTTCACTTCAGTGACTCTCTGAGTGAGGTCTTTATGTGGAACCCCCATCAGATGTCTCAGAGACCATGAGAAAGTAGGAAGACAGGGATAAAGGACTGTGGAGCAGGGAATCAGAGGGGGTAAGTGTCTTGTCCCGCACTAGAGTATATCTTCATTAGAGTAGTGATGTGCACTTACTACCAGAGTGCTTCTCTTTGACCCTTCCACAGCCCCCTCTCACGTGATGTTAGGAGTTCCTGTTCTGTGTTCCTGTACCCCTGTACCCCCTCTTTTCACCACACCCCTACCCAGATTTCTTCCTGCTTTAAAAATTACCTGCTGTCCCATGACTCCTTGGCTGCCAGGGAGTGGCTTCAATATGGACCGAGGCTGTGTTGCTCAGTGCTTAGCACAGCACCTGACGTACAAGACACCATGAATAGTTTTTGGCTGCATGGATGAATTTATCAGCTATATATAATATGCCTCTTTCCCACCAAAGGAACTACCCCAACAGGAAGTAGGAACATGGAAGTTAAGGAACGCTCTCAACTGATTGTCAAATGTTAGAAATTGGGAACTCATCTTGGTCCCTGCAGTGATAAGTAGCAAAACTCTTAGCATGAAGAGGGCTGCCGGGCCGATCTTTGTGGGCTGCTGGGGAGGGAAGATTCGGGAGGACTTGTTGCAGCGAGTCTGTGCTGGGCCCTAGGGGTCATTACTGTGGCTTCTTCTAGTTGTTCATTCAGTATCTGTGCCATCAGTCACAGCTGCGTCCCCAGAACATGAAACAGTGCCTGGTGCTTGACAATTTTTGTTGAAAGAGTTCTCAAAAATCAGACAGGGAATGAAAGTTTGCTGGACTCACCTTCTTACTTTTTTTTTTTTTTTTTTCTTTTCCAGTTTGGAGAATAGAGTGCAAAGATTTAGTTAGAGCTGGGGTGGTGAGGTTAAAGGCGAGTGCCCTCAGGACCAAGTTCAGATCAGTCTTCACAAATTCTTTATTCTTGCCATCTGCAGACACCCTTGCAGCCTTCAGGGAAGGGGGAGGGAGGAAACGGGGCCAAGCCAGATGGGGGGTGTCCAGCTTCTCCTCCACTGGTGGTGTTGCCACTGGTCTGCTGGGCACCCCGGTGAGTCTGCTTTGGGACCTGAGAGCCATGGTGGCTCCAGTGATTTCTACAGAATAAACATGGTCAGTTAGGATGAGTGCCTCACCTCACCCCTGGATTCTTCCCAGAAGTCCTCCCAGACTGCGGTGAAGTCTCCATGAGTTAAAGGTGTTTCTCCAAGCCCAGCTGTCACAAAACAAGTACGCACTCACACTCAGCTAGGGTGATCGTTGCTGAAGGTTTTCTTTTTTTTTTCTTTTTTCTTTTACAAACTAGAGTAAAGAAGGAAAAACATGGTTGATGTAGATTTGAGTGAATGAGTTCACCCATCTGGCTTGCTTTTTTTTTTCCCCCCTCACAAAATGAGAGTAAATTCTAGTACTGACAAAAATAAAAGTCCTTTTTTGAGTGCCTGCCGTGGTGGTTGGAAGGATCTGAGAAGTAATGGTGTTTGCTGGCAGAGCGAGAACCAGCACGGGGCATCTGGGTTTCAGTTCCCTCCACCTGCCTCAGACTTGCTTCTAGAACCTATCTCCGAGGACTCCAGCCTTGTTCTGTGGCAGGCTGCTGAGAGGGAGTTGCCAGGTAGATGGGAACAGTGTTGAGTGGTGTTGAGGCTGGCCCTCACAAATACATCTGCACTAGCCCCTGGCACCATAGCCCCGGAAGTATTTGGACAGTCCTTCTTCCAGTTTCGACCATCAAGGGTGACATTGCTTTTGGAGGTAGCATTTCACTGCAGTATGCATTTGAGCGTGGAAGTGTGTGTGTGCACGTGCATGTGTGTGTACGCGCACGTGTGTGTGTATGTGTGCGCGCGTGCACGTGTACGTGTGTATAGTTTAGGGGAGGAAGGATTCTTTTTTTCTACCATCTTCTTAAGTTCTCTGGCTGGTGCCCTATAAATCGGGCTGACAAAAGACAGATTAACAAGAGAAAAACAAGCACAAGTTTATTAGCATATGCATCACCATTACACACGGGAACACTCAGAGATGAGTGACTCAGAGGCTTGGTTAGAACTTGAACTTATATAGCCTCTTAGCAAGAGAACAATACATTTTTAGAGAACTAAAGAAACAAAGAACAGGAAACCTGAAAAGAACTTTGAGTCTCTAAGGGTGGCAAACTGTAGGAAGGCAAAGCTATGGAAAACTGATGATAGATGAAGGATGGTAGGTAAAATTTGTTAGGAGGATTCCCGTGACGCCATCTCCAGGCTGTAAGGGTCTAAAGTTATCTCTGGTGATTCACTTTTATCCTTCCTAGTAGACAGGGGAAGGGGGATATCTCTGTAAATTTATGTCCCCCTTCTGACAAATAGGAGGAAGGCAGAGACCTCTGATACCTGCTTCTTCTCAATTGCCTTCAGCTCAAAATAATCTTTACGGCAAAGTGATGTTTTGGGATGGCCTGTTCTGCTGTCCTAAAGACCCGAAAGCATATCAGCTGAGTGAGAGATGCCAATCATTCTTGAGTCAACCCCAGGGAGGTCATGCGACATTTTCTTTTTCTTGGCAGGAGGGAGGGGTCGTAGCCCTCTTCAAGGTCTGCCGGCAGGATAGTTTCCGGTGCTTGTACCCCCAGGCGCTCCGCACGCTCGCCTCCATCTGCTGTGTGGAAGAGGGTGTCCACCAGCTGGAGAAGGTAAGAGAACAGCTAGCTGGCTGGCTGGCTGGGGCTCGAGGTCCCGGAGTCACGTGGGTAGCGGGTGGGGCCCGACAGACCTGGTGGCCACCTGGGCTCCTTCCCCTGAGAACCTGTCTTTCCCAGGCATCACTCCAATGGGGCCGCTGGGATTTTGGCTATGGGAGTTGATGAGGAGGAAAGGGATTAAGGAGTTTGGCCAGGAAGGGCAGGGCCCAGAGGGGCACTCCTGTGTGGAGAGGCCAACAGTCCAGTGGGTAGAACACGGCAGGAGGCAGGCAGGTGGGGTGCGGAGTGGTGTCAAAGCTCAGGGCTGTTGTCCTGCACTCATGACAGGACCCCAGTGGAAGGAGGAGGACCCCGCTCTCTGGGGGAGATTGGGCAGGAGAAGGACGGGCATTGGCCTGGGCAAGCAGGTGGGGCTCAGCCAAGCAGAGGGATTGGGTCAGGGAAACCGAAGCTTAAGTCCAAGTGTATGTTGGGTCATCATGGCATGGGATGGGTGGGGCCAGAGGGAAGGTAGTGATCTGGTAGACCCAGGTACCAAACTAGGGTGATGTGACTAATTCCAGCTACCACCCCCCCCTCCACCGCCTCACTCTCTCCAGGTTGTAGGGCTGAGGTTGCTCTTCCACCACCCAGGCCTGAGAGGGTCTGAGCCTGCAGATGGACCCTCAGGGACTTTAGCCAGGAGGGTAGGGGGCTGGGGCTCACGTTTGGAGATTTCTCAACCAAGTTTCAAGGAAAGATACTGGATATTTTTATGGAAGAGAGGTACAAAGGCCAGGAATATCCTGGTGATAGTTGTGGTCCCCTCTGGGCTGGGGACCTTGGGTCTGGTCTGTATGGGGTCAGGGCAAGCAAAATGTCCCCCTTCCTCTGTCCCAGCTCCCAGAAAATCCCCATCCTACCCCCAGCTTCTTCACTTCGGTTTGGACTCCTAGTCAGATGGTCATCTCACTTTCCACCTGCCTCTTTCCAAATCTGCTCAGGTTATGGGACAGTGTCGTAGGATCATGGCCTTAGAGATGCTTTTAACTGAGGATGGAGGATGGATGGGGACTTGGCTCATTTTACAGATGAGAAGACTGGATCAAAATGGGGGAGTAATTTATCTGAGGTCACAGAGCAAGATGGTGGAAGAGCTAGAGCCAGCCCTCTGGGCAGAGCGTCCCCTTCCTACAGGGATGGAAGCCTTTGTACGGGAGAGGGGGCCATGACAAAAGACAGACCCCATGAAGTAAATGCACTGGGCATCTCTGGGTTTCTATGCTGAATAATCTCTTCTCCCATCAAATCTTCTTCCTTGGATAGTAGAAACATGGCCAGACTGGTTTTGTTTTTCATCTTCTTTTCCTGCTTGTCAGTGGGAAGAACAGGAGGAGAAAATAGAAGGGATTGGAATCACCAGTCTTCCAAAAGTCGTGGATTTCTTGGCTTCAGAGAGTTTGCAGAGCAGCAGGGAATTTTTAATCCAGGGAAGAAAAACAGCAGGGCTTTTTTGTTTAGAGATAAAAACCTGTGCAGCTGGGAAGTCTGGAGATTTTTCCTTCCATCTTCGTGCTGCTGCTCCAAAGCTAGAAGGCATGAATGCATCTTTGCAGGGTCTGCCCTGTCCTCTGATGATCTAGCCCCCAACACACATCCCTTCTTAACTCACTAGAACCCTGTGAGGTGAGCTCTCATTATGTCTCCATCTTAAAGGCAAGGAAACTGAGTCTCAGGCACTTTAGGTGACTTGTCTAAAATCACAAAATACATTCTAGAGCCAGAATTTGGACCCTCTCCCTGAGTCTAACGGCCAATCTACCTCACCTCCTCCCTGGTTAAATATATACTGTCACAGTGCCTCAAAGGCCCTGCAGCTAAGCCCAGGGTCACCTCGCTGCTCCTGGCCAATGTGCTAAGCACCCCCACCCCCAACTGGCACAGGACAAAGTGGTCCTAACTGGGGCACTCCCCTCTTCCAGGACAGCTTACTTTCAATGCACAAGACATTCCTGGAACACCTCTGTGCCAGGCAGAGAGGGAGGGAGGTCAGCCTGAGAAGAGCCCCCTGGTGGTCTGAACAGCAACTACACCGCCCTTGAGGCTCCACGGGCCTCCTAATTACATTCGATGCTTGCCTGAGTGTGCAAGCTACCTCTTTGCACAGATGAGGAAACTGAGGCCTGGAGAGCGGAAATGACTTTTCGCACAGAATTACACAGCTTAGAATTCATTCGTTTAGCAAATATTTACCTACTGCTCTTTTCCAGGTACTGTTTTAAGTGCTGCTGGGAGTTTAGCAGTGAACAGCACAGGCAACACCCCCTGTCCTTGTGGAGCCGACATTCTAGTGCAGGGGGGTGGCAAGTCGTGGCCTGTGGCCTGTTTTGAGACAGCCGTGAGCTCGGAATGGTTTCTTCTTCTGTTTTTAAAGAGTTAAAAAAAAAAAAACCCAGAAGAATAACATTTTGTGTCACATGAAAATTATGTGAAATTCAAATTCACATTTTTTGACCCATAAATTTTAGTGGAACTGGCATGGTCATTCGCTTAGCCGTCGACTGTCTACTTTTGTGCCACAGCAGCAGAACTGAATAGTTGCAAGAGACCACACGGCCCACAAAGACAAAAGCATTGACTATCTGGCCCTCGGCAGAAAACGTTTATTGAGCCCTGTCCTAACAGGTAATGAGCACATCGTGACAATAGCTAGCATGCATCAAATCCTTGCTCTGGGCGGGCACTTTGCTCAGCACCCCCTTTCATTGTGTCATGTGATGGTTCGTCCTTTGGTGCTGTGATTATCCTCGTTTATAGCAGGATGGCAGACTTGGAGAAGCGAAGCACCTCGCGCAGGAGCACTCAGCTACTCAATGGTCTAGCAGCCTCGTACTTGTAATCGCAGTTCTGCCCAGCCAGAGCCAGCCTGCGCTGTGAACCATTATGCAGACCCAGGACTCGAATTTGACTTTCTGAGGCCAGTGTCCATATTCTTTTCCTCCTATCATACTGCTTCCAAAGTTGTGAGAAGTTCTAGACCCAGGAAGGGCCGGGGGCTCTCACAGGGGCCCTGGCATGCCCCCTCCCCCAGGTCCTGCCTGCACCTGCCCCACTGTGTGGTTTGGGCTGCTGAGCGCTGGCCTCGGAGGCTCCGTGAGGTCAGCCACTGTGAGTGTGTAGGGTGGAGGCTGGAGAAGCCCAGAGACAGGCTGGATCGCAGAAACCCCAGTGTGACAGGTGAGGCAAAGACAGGATTGGGAGCAGGGTGCCCGGGGCTCTTGCCAGCCACCTCACGAGGCCCAATTCACGCACTAGTCAGATAATGTTAGAGTCTCAGCCTTCTGCTGATTTATTGGCCTGAGCTCCTCATGGAGGCCCACCTAATTAATTGGCAGTGAGACATGTGCTGGATTTGGTGAAATTCATCTTTGTCATGCGGCTCCCCCCACCCCCCACTTCCCTCCAACCCTGAAGAGGTCCAGTAAATCATGCACAGACCCCGTGTCAGAAGTGTGGGTCTAGACAGGGCACCAGACACCCTGCCACGTGATGCCCAAGCTCTGCCCAGCTTGGGGATTTCGTGTGGTCCTAGTTCAATCGTGGATTCATTCATTCACTCTGTGGAGTCACTGAGGCATCCGCTTCCTCATTCCTTCTCTCATCCGGTCATCCATTCACTCACTCATTCATTCACTCAGTCCATCGCCCACATGTCATGCTACTCATCCACTCCCTCAGGGCACATCTGCCAAGAAACAGCCCAGCGCAGTGGGGAAAGCACAGCCTTTGATAGTCAGGCTCTCCTGTTTTGGAACCCAGGCTTCTCCACCTATGAGCTTGAGCTACATTTCTCTGAGGAATTAACCACCTTCCCAGAGGTACGGTCTCCTCAGTTAAATGAGCATGATGAAAGCTACTTCCTAGCACTGTCGGAGGAAGATAGACAGGCACTGACAGATGGCTATTATGATTATGGCTGGTGCGATGCTCATTGCTGGGGTTTAGAAAACCAGTGGCCTGAGGAAGATTACCCTCTGGTGGACAGGAGAGCGCTGACGTGGCAGGAGGAGGGGCTAACGTGGTCAAAGTCGCTGCTGCGTGCGCAGCATAGAGAAGCTGCGTGAGGCTGGAGCTCGAGCCCTCACATCTTTTCCATTTTACAGATGAGGAACCTGAGATTCAGGAACTGTGTCCCCTCTGCTCATAAATGTAGAGCTTTAGAAGCAAGTCTGGCTGGTTTTGAAGTGTGTTCTTTATAAGGTGTGCTGCCTTGAGAAGAGTTGGCCCGTCTGAGGTGGGAACGGCAGGGGGATGGCCTCCAGGGTGCCAGGCCATGGGTGTTGGCCTGAGCAGGGCGCAGACCTGGGCAGGGCTGGAGGGGCGAGATGTCAAAACACAGCAAAGCCCTCTCCAGAGGTATCTGAGGCATCAGAGGTCTAGTTCATCCCGGCCACAGCATCCCCAGCATCGTGTTTCCCCTAAACCATCATGTTTCGGGAAGTCTGTCCTGCTCCCCGCTGTGTCCCTAGCAGATAATCACCCCTCCTTCCCATCTCTGTGCTGGGCCCTCGTTCCCATCTCTGTTCCATCTCCTCTTTGTGAGGAGAGACAAACAGCTATGTGCCCTGTCTCCCACTGAGGGTGGCTGGGGAGAAGCTCAGGGATTCAGACAGTGGAAAGGGCTGTCCCATGGCTGTCAGAGGCCACAGGCCCATGGCACCCCTCTGTGTGAGATGCTGGTGAGGGCAGCCATAAGGAGGCCATGGAGCTGGGCTCAGAGGGCTAAGGAGGAGCTCCCAGGGAGGCCAAGGGAAAGTGGTCTCGGCAAAGGCAGAGGGACTCCACAGCTGGCCAGTTGGTGGTGGGGCTGTTAAGTCAGAAGCTCCATGTTCAGTGATTTGTGGGGCCCAGAAGAAGAGACAGTGTTCTCTGAACCCCACCTTGGAGAAGACTGGAGAAAGAAAACAAGGGTCCAGGAGGGAGTGAAGGCCTCAGGGCCATACACACCCCAA